TAATATGTCACTTGATTTTTAAAAAAAAAAATCGATAATTCGTTGATCGAACAAAATATTTCATTTAAGAAATATTCTTGACAACGATTTATTTAATGTAGCTTTTACATTTGGTGAAGCTGCTGATGATATTAATGCTGCACCTCTCGGATCTTCGCTCAACCTGGTTAATATATGTTGAGCGGCTTGACTAAAGCCATGTACATAAATATGTCAATCTTCAATATTGGTGATATAGTTAAGATTCATATTACTTACCGAGAAGTAGGCGTGTTATCAAATACCATGCTAGTGGCAGCAGTTATCACTGCATCTCTAGCATCTGTTGGTAAATGAAGTGTTCCACTGACTCCGAGCTTATCGACCACTCTGGCTAAGAGACGACACGCTTCAGCACGAACCATTCGATTTCCATGCCTAGAATATTAAATGCAACAATTATTTTCTTTATTCCATATTATAGCGAACTTTGTTTTAGCTGATGCGTCAAAGCTCACTTTATCCCTTTAGCTGTGATCACGTGTATGCACTTTACGGGATTCACGTTGTCGACCATTGCATTCAAAGCTTCAGCACTTTGCACCCGAAGAAATTTATTTGTATCTGCTGTACGTGGAAACAGTGCAGATGWTATTTCTTCAATGTCCTGTAAACAAAAACGTATCGATTTCAAATAATATTTTATCGTCTATTTATTGCCTCGACGTACCGGTTCCATTGATTTCGGTACGTAGGTAAACATTTTCTGTGCAGCAGTACACGCGGCTCGAGCCACTTGAGATCGAAGACATTTAATGTGTTTAGCCACGTTGCGAGCAAATGGCTGCAAGGAACCCGGACGCAATTCTTTACTGTGGAACATGGACAGTCGTGAAATATTCTGAAGACCCGTAACGGCCGCTTCCCTGTCATGACATATCGATAATTTGTTAATTGAATGACACGATAAACGCGATTGTTTGAGGTATAAAAATGATGTAGAATTTGTGTGTGTGTGTGTGTGTGTGTGTGAGAGAGAGAGAGAGAGAGCGAGTGAGAGGAATGGGGTGGGTCTAAAAGTGCCTATGCTTCCGTACACTACACCATTCTGTAAAGTTGTGATTATACATTTAAGTAAGTTCCATCAATAAGTATAGATACCATTCCGGGCTATTGATCTGAGTAGAAACCAAATGTAGAGCTCTTTGAGGATCATTGAACGGGGTGAAGTTTGGTCCCATTTCACTAGATCGTTTTTTCAGATGCGTTCCGACGGACTTCTTCCTTTCGAGTGTTGATGATGCTGCGTGTGGCGCCGGCGGTTGTGCCACAGACTTCGTAGGTCTTACTTCTGCCACAGGTTTTTTACTGCGTGAAAACAAATCATGAATATAAATGCATTAAAAATATAGGTAGACGAATYCGAGGTGTGTAAATATTAGTGCCCTACTTTCTAAATACTGCAGATACGTGTAAGCTTTACAAAGGAGACTGACGCAAATTAATAGTTTTTTTAGACTAATGCCAGTAATCTTAATTTAGGAATATGTCTGCTGTTTATAAAAAAAACGTTGACTACAGCTGTGCATTGTACATGAAGKCGGATCGGAGTATGGACTCACTCGTTTTGCGATCGAACGTTTGCGCCTGCAGTTCCACTAGAACACTGCTGCACTTTGAAATTGGCCGGTTTGACGAGACCCGCATCGCAATCACCATTATTGTCGGACTGGGTCAATGATTTTTTGCGATCGTTAATCACTAGCTGCTGTTGTGGCAGAATTCGATCGTCGGGGTCGACACGTCGGGTTCCCAATATTGCTCCGCCATCAGATTTATCGACTGGAATATTTGATGACGTGCTGTTAGCCAAAGTATGTGGTCCGACATCATGTTCGCCATCCGGTGGCTTGATTACGTCGCTCGACGATTCCGCAGGACGAATGAAATTACGACGGGAATCGTCGTCTGCAGTGTCGGATATCCTTCTATTGTTGTGCTCCTGTCTATTGGTTTCCGGAACCACGGTCATTGAAAACGTTGTTCTCACAGAAGACTCAAAACTGATGAGAACRAAAATTCAGGTGTGATGTTATTTATAATAGGTGGGGCAATATTATAGACGTGCATACCTATGACTTAAATTTTTCTAAATTTTAATTTTTTCTATGATTTTTAGTATTATTATTTATTATACATTTATAGCTTATACCTACTACACAGGCTACAATGGTAGGCACATTGTGCCTGTATATGTACCAAAGTATAAAATCTATTATTGTTAAATACTTATATTTAAATGTAGATTTGCTGTCAAAAATGTATACCATTATTTATTCGTGCAATAAGGTGAGAAGATTTTTTGTATACATAGTACAATATAATATAGGTTGTACTATTATAATATGTACCTACTAATTAGTAGGTACAGAGGACGTCGTCGATCTCGTATGTGTATAGTCTCCGTCTTATACATTCTTATACGGCATATCATATTTTCGTTTATTAATTTCAATAGTGTGATGTTAACTTTGATATTAACTTTGACTTATTTTACAATTTAAACTAAATGGCAAGATTATCTGGACCCCAGCCCCTCGGCCCACGTATGACATAATTTAGTTATTTTAGATACATGCAATAGAAAATATTTTTTTACATATTTCTTAGATGAACTAATAAGTGCCATTCGTGAAAACTTAAAAATAGTCACACCCCAATTGTTGTAGTACATATATATTTAGATTTTAGGTCTTATATTCACATGCATAGCCAAATTGTATTATTATAATAGAGCTGTACATAAATTATGTCACATAATAAACAAACACGCTACATAATAGTCGTGACTTGAATGTTCAACCCATACTTAGAGTGGTGTTATTTTCATAAATATTACCAAATGCATGTATGGTCGTATGATGAAAATACGATAAATCAAAATATGTAATGAAGTATTTGTGTTAAGATCTTACTCGATGATGGTCGGCTTACACGACGGYACGTGTCTGGGCACTACGAATACGGTGTGATTGAGAGATATCTGTTTACGGTGCAATTTATTTCGTTTTTCTCGTTGCACGGAATTGTGAAATCTGTATTTTCGTTTAGCCGTTGTCAATGTGGTAAGGACCGGCGTGACGACGCGGTCTTTCGACGGCGGCGAAGACGCCACAAGGCTATGACGACGAGAACGAGCAGAGCCGCAACAGAAACAAGATCGAAACATAACGAAATTATGGACATGTCTCGTGTTAAAAAAAAAAGAGAACGAAAAAGCCGTCAACGACCGTCGCCGGTAATGTGAAAAACGGACTGCCGATGTACCGACCACCACATTTACAAATATAGATACTCACGCGGTAAAGGTATATTTAATGATATGAAGTATAGGTATATCAATATATGTAAATATATTATATATAGGTTTATAGGTATAGTAAATTATACCTAATAATATATTAATAATATGATGTGTGGTGTAGCGGTACAGGGTCCTGCTGTTTCTTGCAAGGGGGAGTGGATTTTTATATGCACGCATTGATATTATATATATTATCTATATATCATGTTATTGCAGGTATATTAAGTTATGGACTCACGCGATTGATTGGATTTTTAAACAAGGTCAACGGTCAACTCATGGTGGACAAAACGTCTACTATTTTTCTCCTTTATATTATATAGGTATAGGATGAATTCATGTGTTATATATGAGGGAAACTTGTTGATGTGTTCGCCTGTGGACTATAACGATTTGACCCGACGATTATATTATGTTTATCTAATAGTCAATATAGAGCCATAATATATATATATATGTGTAAAATGTACATGCAGTTTAGTGACATTATTGGTATCACTTGTCAGCAGAGGTGGATTTAAGGGGAGCAAAAGCGACTTTTCCCCTATAGCTCTACTATACAAATATATATAGACATATAGTTCTAGTATATATGTATATGCCTAAAATTATACATCACTCCTATTAGTTTTTCCGTGGAAAATCAATATTTTTTAATGCGATTATTTTTATGAAATAAGTATGTAAATTCTAATTGAGCGGTATAATGTTTAAATTATTATTCAACATTTTTGGTAGTTTTTGGTATTCAACCACCCCCCGAGAACACATGMAGTTACATTACTTCCTAACTTGCCTGGGGACTACTGTTAATATATATTATTATTTATCGTATTATATAGGTACTCTTTTTAAAACAAGAACGCACCGCGCTGATGCATCCAAAATTTCAAATAATCATCGGAACATAAAATACAGTGAACACTCATTATTTCAAAAATTATATGTTTTTGAAAATATTATTTTACATAATTTCTAGTTGTTAAAAAA